GGGGGGGGTGGGGGGGGGGGAGGTCAAAGTTTGGCCTTTGGGCATCAGTGAAGAAATGGGTAGAGTTTGTGAAAGTCTTGCAGTATGGGACAACTTTGCAAGTTTAAGGGCAAAAAAGTGTAATTCTTTGACCTGAGCACATAATAAATGACAAACCATTGCAAAAGGAGCACTGTCATTGATTTCCAATTTGATTGAAATTAAGGAAATGATCTGTTGCATTTATCAAAATTAATTGCACCATTTCGTTTTTTAATACATACAGCCTTTACTATTTCGTTTAACATTGATGAGATTTTGGTAGTCATGCTGTGTGTCCTCCTGCTTAATTGCAGTCAAGACAGTGAGCCAGAGTTCACAGAATTCACAATAATTCTACCCTGGCAATGTGTTAAGCCTGTTCAACCAGTTACCTATATGTTAGCAGGGCAGTAGATATGACTAGCCAACTCCCCAGAGTGTGCATTGATTCTAAAGTACAGCATGGGTCTTTAGGTCTGCCCTTTTCTCTTTGTGTGTGTGACCACGCCTGCTGATAATGCAGAGTGTAATATGAAAGTCAAATAGAAACTTGAGCCATACTATCAGGCAACCCAGAGGGTTTAGTCTCTCCACTGTATTGTAACCAGTAGAATGCATGAGCCATATGAAAAGGCTTCCTTATGAAAGAGGCTGAGAATGACTTCAGCCCTGCCAACTCTGTATGGTAATTTGTTTTTAAATTATGACAAAATTACTGTCTTCTACTGCCCATGTTTTATTAGTTATAGTGAAAACTATTGTGTAATATTCTTAAGAATGAGTCAGGTTTGTGTAAGAGAATTTGATTGTATTATGTGTCAGAATAATAAAAGAAACTTGAATCAGTTAATATATATAATAGCTGAATGTGACAGGAACTTCAATTTTGAGTTATTTTTGGGAAAAAAAAAAGAATAATTTAAATTGGGATCCTACTCAAAGAGGAAAATCTTGTAATCCTTTATATTTTGGGTAAGATTATAAGTATGCATGGCTAGTTTAGAGAATGTCTGTTGTTATGTCATAATGTGACAAGTTGTAAGCAGTGTGAGGAGATACCTGATGTGTACTGTGGTGGGAACTGTGACCCTGTTACGTGTCAGGTATTGCAATCGACTGACTAGTAAGTCAGAGAGAGCCTTAGAGATGGGTTTAAAATAACAAAAAGGTGATTTTTTTTCAATATGATGATCATCATCGGTAAGGCCAAAGAAGAAAAAAAATGATCCATCTTGCAAATTTGAATATGGTGGAAATGATCAGTGTTTGAATTTGATAAATAAGTTTTTAAAACATTATTTTTGTCTGTTGCCTAAACATGTTATTATCAAAAACTGAACATGACTGCATTATGCTTAAGACATTCCATTTTTTTTTTTTTGTTGATCAATGCCACAAAACTCTTCCTTTAATTAGTTCATTAGTTCTCCATTAAAAACCACATTATTTTGATCTGTTCATGTCCTGGTTCTTTTTTCCTGGAAAAATAATGTCAGAACGTGAGTGGAAGTGCTGAGGTAGTGGTGAAATTCCATGAGCTGGAAATATCATAGAAACCAATTCAAAAGATTGTGAATATATATAATACTGTGTAGTGGACTGTAATCGGAAAGGACTTATTAGAGAAAACAACCAGAAAAAAATGTCTGTTGAATTATTTCTGACTCCACTTTACAAATCCTGTGAAATCTCACTTGATTTTATACTAAGAGACAAGACTTTGGGTAATCTTAGATCATTTCCATGGTGAATAATTTTCTACAATTTAAAAATAATTATTTTACACTCTACTGAAAAAAAATTCAGAAATATGAAATTGTTTTTCAGTAATTAAAAAACTATTTAATGAAGAAGTAAAAATCTTCATTGTATATAAAAAAGTATAAAAAATACTGGATGCATTATCTATCAGTGTGAGGTAGAGGATTGCTGTGCCTTACTACTCCTGATTTGTTGATTGATTAATTTGATGAAAATGAATGATTGATTGATGGGCTTTATTTATAAATTTATAGATGTGATTTGAATGTGAGCAGCTGCATGATCACTTATTAATGAACCAAATCAATGTAATTAGTAACTATGTAGTGCTTTGTATCTGTCAAGTTTCCCATAGTTTCAGATACACACTTTTGTCTCTGTGCAAGTCCTTCAGTCAACACAAGTGATGTTTACATTAGAATAATCTATGGTGAAGTGTATTGAGTGGGAGATTATTTACCTTGGAAACGGTCAATAAACACCTGGCTTTTTGGTTTAATATTTTGACATAACCTTCCATTAGGCAATCTGATATGGTTAGAAGAGTGGGAGTTTATATAATGTGACCTACATTATGAAATGGGTTGGCAATATAATTAATTAATTAGTTAATTAGTTATATTACATAGATCACTTGGCATATTAGATATAGAATGCATTGGTATTGCATACAGAAAATTTAACATTGAACCAGGTGGTTTAGGCGGTTGCCCCATTTTTTTTTTTTTTTTTTTTTTTTTACTCTATGACAAAGTGAATATGTGTTGAATTCTTTTCTCTGAAAGCAAGTTGTATGCTGGCAATTCATTACAGTGACTATTATCCACTCAGTCTTGGCATTAGATATATACCACTGTAACCTGTACTTGCTGATGTATAACAATATATTGATTGACATTGACCCAGTTAGATAGGTGCCAGTATTCCAGAACTTGATAATATACATGTATATATATATATAATAATTTACATTGACATTGACCCAGTAAGATAAAGATAGTGGTGACATTGGTGTCTGTACCATGTCACGGGTGGATAGATGTGTGAAAACATACAATTTATATCAGCTACAGATTTTTGAGGAAATAAAAAAGACAAAGATTTTTTACTCTGTTTTATGTTAATTTGGACTTTAAGGGCTTGTTTGGGTAAATGCACTTTAATGAAACTTTTTTTATGTGATAGAGAGAAGATATGTACTTTTCATTCAAGTTTGTGAAATAACTATGGATGATAAACCATTTCTGTTTTTAAATATTAAAATTATGAGTTCTGTCTTTCTCCGTGTTCAGACAAGGACTAGTGTAGACTACAAATGGGTCCAACTTTCATTATTCCTTAACACCAGGTAGACATATTTACAATCTATATTAGTCCTGCTTCGCTGACCTTTAGTGCATGTAGTAACCTGTGTTCTCTTTCTCTCTCCCCTTGCTGCTCTAGGTCAGTACAACACCCAGTATGGTGGGTATGGTGCTGCCCCAGGCCAACCTGCTCAGCCTGGGTACTACCAGCAACAACAGCCTGGAGGTAATGCACAAACGCACGCACACACACACACACACACACACACACACACACACACACACACACATGTATACGCACACACACACACACACGTATACGCACATACACACACACACACACACACACACACACACACACACATACTCTCATATATACGTACATGCATGCATACATACACACACATGTATAGACACTCCTGTACATACACACATACATGTAGGTACTAGAGCAGGTGCAGTTGTGAGGTCATGCACAGACACACACGCACATGTATACGCATGTACATGAACACACATTTGCACATACACACACAGAAATTTACATCAATCATAGTATTAACAGCAACAGCAGCCATGAGGTATTAGTGCATGTGCGTGAGCACATATGTATTTACACACACACACACACACACACACACACACACTACCCTAGTGACTACACCACAAGACAGTTTCTATATTTGCTTTGATGACTCATTGTTACTTTGTTGTGCATCTCTTTCTTTATTTTAACCCCCTCTCTCCCCTTTAAATCTTAAATTTTGTTATTATTTTCAATGAAAAATACCTCCCATAAGGATCAACTGTAATATGAATAAAATCTATTAAAGGTATTTAGACAGAATTATTTAAACTCTCACTGGGTGCTGTGTCCCATGGAAAAATGAGTCTTTTGTTGGCTTTTTCTTGAGTCTCAATTTTTTTTTTACCTTTTTCACCCTTGTTGGTATTATTATTATTATTATTATTATTATTATTATTATTATTATTATTATATCCAATTTCAGCCATGCCCCCTATGCCCCCTGGGGCTCAACAACCCCAGCAGCAGCAGTGGATGGTCCGACCCCAGGGGATCCCTGGCTGCCCCCCAGGGCTGGAGTATCTCACCCAGGTCGACCAGCTCTTGGTTCACCAGCAGGTGGAGTTACTGGAGGGTGAGTCCAAGAGAAGACACAAGACAAGACACACTCTCTCTCTCTCTTTCTCTCTCTCTCTCTCTCTCACTCTTCATTATGTACATGTAGAACTTTAATCGAGTAAAATTTATTGCAATTACATGCCTCATTTAAAGAGCATTAAAGTGATGTACAAAAAAATCTTGTGCATATATACAAATTATAAAGCCCGTTTGTTTTTCATTTTAAACGCATTCAGTACAACAGACTAAAAGATCTGCAGATCAAATATGGCTGACCCACTTAAATGCTTGAGTAGTCTCCGCTAGGAATCTGTTTAGTTTCTGGCTGGGAATTAAAAAAGTTTAAGTGGGTCGCTATATTTTATCTGAGAATCCATGTCTGAATGTGCTCTCTCATGTGGTGACATGTTTTATTGCTGATATTGTTTTCAGCCTTCACTGGTTGGGAGACCAAGAATAAGTACCAGGTGAAGAACTCTCTTGGACAACAGGTTTATTTTGCTGCTGAGGGTATGTATTAAGTCTCTACCTAGTACCTTCTACCTAGTTTGAACCTAGTCAACTAAGCCTGGAAACTGACTTAAATTTTTTTGTGGAACTCGGACGAGAAAATTTGGTTGTAGTCAGATTTTTTACATATTAATGAATCCTTTTACACCAGTGTGGCACATTGCAAAGTTTTTAAAAAAATTCATTTAAAATTTAAATTTATGAAATTATTTTAAAAGTGTGACTTGTTCACTTGAATAACTTAAAGAATGTGATCTTGAAACACGAAGTATAGGAATATTATAGGTAATTAATGAAGGTCTTCACTAGTCATTACCAGCAACAATTTTTTTCTGTGAAGCTGACACTTAAATGTTGGAGTCATTGCTGGATGAATTGTAGAATTCAAGTACTTGTATATATTTACATGATATAAACTGTCTGTACTGTTTCAGAGTCTGACATGTGTATGAGGCAGTGTTGTGGTCCAGGGAGAGGGTTCCAGATGCACATCACAGACAACATGGGACAGGTATGCTAACACTGCTCCTCCCAGCAGCTAGGGGGCCAGTTTCACAAAATGTCAAAAGTCAGTTTTTGGGTCAAAATCTTAGAGTGCATTCAAAACAGCAGAATAACAGATCCACGGATCAAATATGATGACCCACTTAAAAGCTTGCTGCTTAATTCTCCATTGTTACTGAATAGATTCCCTGCGGGGATTATGCAACAAGCATTCAGGTGGGTTGGCTATATTTGAACCACGGATCTACTAATCCACTGTTCTGAATCCGCTCTTAGGCTTATAAGACTTAGTTGACTAAGATCCATTTTGCAAAAAAAAATTAATGGGTTACTCAGTTTGATTTTTGTTGTCTTAAACTTCACACTTTGAGCAAATAATGATTGTTAAGATGAAGATCTTGCCTCAGTAGTGTCAGGAAGTCGATAAGGTATTTTTTGTGCAGCAGTTATTGTTAAAAACTCTTATGGCAATAATTAACTTAGCATAGTTGGCCTTCATACTTTAGCAGTACTACTTTACTAGTACTTACCAAAGAACTAAAGACTATGTGAAACTGGTTTTTGAATAAAGTGCACATTAGTGCATCTTCAGCATGTAGTCCACACCAGAGCTTCTCTTGTAAATGAGTCTTTTTGATAGAATATTACTATGGACATCAAGCCAGGTCAGAAAGGTTTATGGTTGGGCTTATCTTGTTAAGTTGTCCCTCTATGGGTGAAACAGTGCTATATACATTTGACCCATTACCTTTTTTTCTCTGTGTTGTATTCTTAATAATGAATGAACATAATCATACTATTGGTAGATTCAGGTTGCCACCAGAAACATTGTAATTGTGTTGGATAAAGTCCTGCTAACACAATCTTTCAAATCCCCTAGTTTATACCAGTGTATGTAATACTATACTGTGATAAAAGAGAATGGACTACTCAAGGCTCATCTGTCACAATCAGTGATTGTGTTGTTTGAACTCACCAGACACATTCTATGTAAATTTTGTGAGGCTTGTGTTGTAATAGGAGAGTGTACAGCATTTTAACATGTTGTTTTAAAGGTGGCAGTGAATTGCAAGTGTTTGTTACATCTGAAACACATCACTGGCATAGATATTAGGTTTACATTCATATATTTATTAATTATTTATTTATTTGTCATGTTATGAGGGTCCAAATCATGCACACAAACTGCTGTTATGAACTATATACCAATATGCATAATGGGTATATACCCTAATGCATTGTGTTGAACACCAGACATGCTGAAAACTTTTGAGAATTGCCGGACATTTGGACCGGCAGTAGTGAAAAATTTGCCAGACCGAATGGATTTCTGTTGGACCGAAAATTACCCTATTAGTTTGAGACAGATACAACCAGAACGATTAGGTAGCTTACATTGTTTGTGAATGTGATAGGTTTGAAATGGAAGGGAACAGATGCTTTGGGTTTTATATAATTTTATTAGGGAAGTATGTCAAATGATGACTCTAAATTCAAAAGTGTGGCTCTTAAAACTCTTGTCGGTCCTTTGGACCGACCACGTCCAATTTTTTACTGGTCCAGACAAATTTTTCTGGTCATGACCGATCGGACTGACAGTTTCAGCATGTCTGGAACACGGTGGCTACGATGACACATTGATTGGCTGAGTAAAGCTCTGATTGGTCAACAGCAGGTTATCGTGACACTCTGTCTTCATCGTGTATGCAGCTTTAAATCCTCTTCTCGTTAGATGACATTCCAGCTAGTGAAACCAACATTATGAAATCAATGGAAATTTTGAGTATTTGCTGTTGAGCTATTAAAATCTGGAAGAAAGGTAATCAAAGTAAAGAGAGCTAGAATGTATGCAGAGCTACTGACTTTGTTATGACCAAAAAAGGACATGGTAATCATGTCAGACATATCCTAACCACAAGTTAGCAGCCTTTGAAACAAGTCTTTATAATGTTGGTTGTGGTCTTGTACTTTTTTTAGAAAGCTGGGTTCATATTACTGTGTGGTCTTTGAAAGCAAGGACTTTGAAACAATTCTTTTATCAAGTTAGCTGTGGCCTTATACTATTTTAGAAAGCTGGATTCCTATTTCTCTGTGGTCTTTGAAAGCAGATACTTTGAAACGATTTTTAATGTTGGCTATGGCCGTGTACTATTTTAGAAAGCTGGGTTCCTATTTCTATATGTGGTCTTTGAAAGCAAGAACATCCAAACAATTCTTGATCAAGTTGGCTGTGGCCCTTTACTATTTTAGAATGCTGCGTTCTTATTTCTGTGTGGTCTTTGAAAGCAAGGACTTTGTTCAGTCTGCGATCATTCCTCCCTAGTGAGTAGGTCTCTGACCAAACATGAATCTTTTCCAAGGCTTTCCTAGTGTTTTAGGTAAGACAAGTTGATAATGCTTTTTTCAAGGGTGTCAAACTACAACAAAAATGTTTTTTTTTTTCATTTAATCTTTTCCACTTTCTTTTTATACATTTTAATGGTATATTTTAATGGTTATTGCAGTACATCAGTTATATTTAGATAAAAAATAATGGCATTTTTTTCATTTCATTAACAAGCTTTCCATTCTTGTTTAACAAAATTTAACCAATTCATTCCACATTGTGTTCCAACACATCATCACTGTATAAAAATGTAAAATCTTCATAAATCCTTATCTCATTTATTAAAATTTAAAAGGAAAAATACATAGTCAAAGAAACAATGGTCTACATTGCATGTCAGAATGTGAAATGGTTGTCCGTTTTGTTTCATTAGATGAATATTGCAGTTTGTATAGTTGGTGTTAGAAATACTGTAATTAATTTGATTTTTTATTGGTCTGTTGTTATTATTATTATTATTATTATTATTATTATTATTATTACTGCTGTGTACTCATATATAACCTACTATGAACAATTTTTGTCATATCCAAGTATTACCAGTTACCAGTTGTAGTTGGTATTTCTCAGTAACCTGATGATACATACACAGGAAGAAGCTTCTACTGTGTCAACCTCTAGTTTGATTAGAGAATTAGCCTGAAGTTGTTTACTGGGAAAAAAAGTATTAAAATATCCATTTATGGCAGGAAAAAGAGGCGTTATTATTTATTTCATTTATTTTTGAGAAAGGAGGATGGGGTTTTCATTTCATGAAAGTGTATCCCTTTTTGTGTGGTTGTTTCATTATTTGCTTATTAATCTTCTCAGAGTGACAGGTGATAAAAGTTATATTTTATTACATGTAATGGATGGTGGTGACAGGAAGTCCTAATGGGCAAGATCGATTGAAATGATTCATCATTTTTTAACATATTATCCCACAACGGAAGCTCATCACATAATCTGGGGACATCAGAATATTTCCCTGGAATTTCTATGCCTTGCACCCCTGACAACAAATCTAGCTTTCATACCCCTAAAATTTTGTAAGACTTGCAGGATTCATTTCAGCCAAGCTGGCAATTATGTCAAAAAAAATTTGTAAGCCTTGCAGTCATCCCTGATAAAACATGAACCATCTTCTAAAATAACTGGTGATGCCAAGTGATGACTGGAATATCGTCCTGGAGAAAACCATCGTCATGAGAAGTTTGTTTGTAGTCAGTCAAAGATGATAAAATGACAGTCTGTGTGTAAATTGTGTTACAGGAAGTGGTGCGAGTTAATCGAGAGTTCAAGTGTTGCGCTGGCTGCTGTTGGTGCGCCGGTGCTGATTGTTGCGCCATGGAAGTCAGTGTAGAGTCACCGCCGGGACAGGTTGTTGGACATGTGAGACAGGCGTAAGTATCTAGTTTCCCATTACCCAGGTTTTGACTACATATACATTTTTTCCCGCTTTTTTATGACAAAATCATGTTACCCCACCTGTCTGTATATCAGTGCATTCTTAAAAAGATAATAACTCTTTGTATGAGATCTATATTTCACAATAAAAACATTGTGAACAACTCATAGAAATAAAATATATTCTTTTGTACCACAAAAACGACAGTTATAGCTATTATTCTGATATCTGAGCTTGTCTATAGACCATGTGACCCCCATTGATGGCTATACTCTGTTAAAATTTTATAATCAATATGATCTTATAATAAAAAAAACTAACTTTTTTAGAATAAAAACCAGGGACTAACTTTGAATGTAAAAATGGATTCATTAACCATTGGAAAGTATGGGAAAATTGTTGTTTACTCCAGAAAAATCCATTTTTTGGCCAAAACAAGGAGTTATTATCCCTTTGAGCATATTATAAAATTAAAACCTGAGTGAACTCTTTCTGCTGTTTTTCTAAGACAAGCACTTTCCTAGACTGGGCTGGAAATTAAGAAGGTCACCAGTATAGTACGTCTGTCTGTTATTTCCATACACACCATGGCCTACTTTTTCACAGCTGACATTATCTAACAAGATCATGATGTTGTGAAATTCTCTTTCTCAGGATAAATACAAACTATAATGGTTTGTTAAAGTAAATTGTTTTAATGACAGGATGATGCTGACTTTGTGTGAAAATAATGATAAATTGTATTTTGTAAAAAGGAATGTGGTTGCTTTTTGATGCAACGCAAAGTTACTTGACTGAAAATAATTAAAACAAATGAGTTTTTTCTACCAGTAAAAAGTTATGAGGTTTGTGTAATTGTATTTTGTAAAAAGGAATGTGGTTGCTTTTTGATGCAACACAAAGTTACTTGACTGAAAATAATTAAAACAAATGTGTTTTTTCTACCAGTAAAAAGTTATGAGGTTTGTGTCATTGTATTTTGTAAAAAGGAATGTGGTTGCTTTTTGATGCAACACAAAGTTACTTGACTGAAAATAATTAAAACAAATGTGTTTTTTCTACCAGTAAAGGGTTATGAGGTTTGTGTGATTTTTTTAAACATGACAAGGTGTTGAACTGAAAGAAAAAAATAGAAATATTTCATAAAATTGGATGTGGCTTTTTTTTTTTTTTTTTTTTTTTTTTTTGTGTGTGTGTAATGAAAAGTGAATTGGCAGGAAGTTTTAAAAGAAAATGTCTTTTTTTCTGGCAGTCAAAAATTTCAAGAAGTTAGTGCAATTTTATTATATGATTCTTATTTTTGGTTTTGTCATATATTCATTTGTTTATTTATCTATTTTGTTTTGTTTTTATTTATCTTATGTTTTATTTCTGACAATTGTGTATTCGGAAACAGTGTTACGAGTAAATTGACTGGGAATTGAAAGTCAGACGAGGTAGTTGTGCACCCTCTACCAAGGTGGCAGATATAGGCAAATTTTGAAAAAGGCAGAGAATCAAATGACTGTCTATTTATCAATTAAAGACATATCTGTGGACATCTTGTGAAAAATCAATTTGTGGCCCTGGTAGAGGATAGTGGTGGTGTTAGTAACATGTTCTGACAATTGAACAGATTTGCTTTGTTTGTTTTCCCCAGTACAAGCGGTTGGGCCCCTAAATACACCATCATGGATGCTGGGATGAAGACAATCTTTGAGGTGAACGGGCCATGCTGCATCTGCCAGGGACCTTGTTGTACTTGGGACCAAGACTTTGTGGTATGTGGATACTCAGCACAGCTGGGCGCATTCAGAAAAGCAGACTAACAGATCCCTGGATCAAATATGGACGACCCACTTGAATGCTTGTTACGTAATCCCCGCGAGGAATCTTTTCGGTGTCTTATTGAGATTTAAGGTTCAAGTCTTTTAGGATGTGGCCATATTTGAACCACAAATTTGTTAGCCTGCAGTTCTGAATTCTCTCTCTCTCTCTCTCTCTCACTCTCTCTCTCTCGTGTCAAAAAAATTCAATTTGTGGTGACAATAATCGTGCAGTTGTCTACCCATTTCACACATCACAACCAGAGATGGGCGATATAATTTTAAAAGTGGAAATGTCAAGTCACATGGATATTACATTTGCGCACACCACAACTACATGCACCTGAATTCTTTCCGCTGGAATACACATTTCTTCCATGCCTCACTGTATTTTTGGCACAGAGCTTGCAGAGTGAGTCAGGAATTACATTAAAGCATTCAATAGAATATCATGTTATACAAGATGCTTGCTATTTTAAGAGTGATCAAATGAGTTTGCTCATGCTTCATGAAATGTCTCTAACCTTTATGGTAGTTTAATGATACTTAAGACATGCCCCTACATGGTAGCTTAAACTGCAGTAAGTTGATCTCTTTTGGCAAAAACGCATTAGAAATTTTTACAAAATCGAAACTAATGTATAAAATGATGAGCACTGATCAAATTTTTAGATTACAGATATGATAGTATAAGATTCTGTAGCATTCAAGTCAACTCTGCAATGTATTTGTCTGTATTAATTTGTCATTTAATGTAAATACACACTACTTGTGAACATATGAAGAGATTAGAAGTAGCATTAGTTATATAAATTACAAACTGAAGGCTGTCCCTTCACCTTTTCAGTCCTGTTCTGTATTTGTCAGAGATTGTCGAGAACATAATGGTATAATTCCCTTATTGATACGCAGTTGAATTAGTTGATTATTGAAATTCATCAGTTTAATTTGTTTTGAAGCTATTTAATTACATTAATAATTGTTAATTTATATAAAATTGATATTTGTACACTCTGTAGAAGAATTTGTTGTATTAATATTTACTTTTATCGTAAATTGAGAAAAAGAACCTGTGTGTATTAAATAAACAGAGATCTGGAAAGGGCACTCACAACTAACATATTTATGTTCATATCATTAAATGGCGGTTTTGGTTGTTAATTCGGCATTTGAAAACACGAACTCTACAGAAGCTGTCTTCTGAAAGATGGTCAGAATTTTTCAAGTTTACATTGACGGACATCTATTTTTTTCTTTGGGAAGATGGTCAAAAATGGGGGAAGGATGAAAGAAGATTATTATGAAGACTGTCAAAAAAATACCTCTGGATCTGCCACTGCAAATGGCAATTAATGTTTATGAGACCTGGTGACTGTAGTTAAACTGTACTGTAATTTCAGATCACTCCACCAGGTGGCGGTGAGGAGGTAGGGAAGATCAGCAAGCAGTGGACTGGACTGATCAAGGAGATGTTCACTGATGCAGACAACTTTGGCGTGACATGTAAGTGGTTTGTTCTTAAAGTTAGTAAAGTTTAGAGCTAAATAAAAATTTAGAGCTAAAAGCAGAATAAAAGTTATCATGCCAACAGGATCGATTTCAGCAGGTATTATTACTACTAAGGTGCAGTCAGTGTAATCAGCTGAATTGTCTGACGTGTTCCCTCGTAACTGAAAGTACTTGTGTAAAATCAGGAAAACTTTGTGGTCCATGATCTTGTTTATGTTGCTTTCTGAGGGGGCTTACCTTCTTTCCTCAGGGCCAAGTAGTTTTGTATATCATATTGTATATTAATTAACTCCTCAGTCCCCATTGATTGTATATATATATATATATATATATTATAATGTCTATTTTTTTCTCTCCTCACTCCCAATGACCCTTATATATCATAATGTCCATTATTTCTCTCCTCACTCCCCATGGATCATATATATATATATATATTATGTCTATAATTTCTCTCCTCACTCCCCATGGATCATATATATATATATATTATGTCTATAATTTCTCTCCTCAGTCCCCATGGATCATATATATAATATACTGTCTATTATTTCTCTCCTCAGTCCCCATGGATCTGGATGTGAAGCTGAAGGCCACACTTCTGGGAGCTGTTTTCCTCATTGTGAGTACTCTTAAGACACATTTTAAGCCCAATTGTGACAGCACATATAATGACCCCACTATCTCAGCCACCTGTATGATTGTGATTTTTTAAAATATCTGCACAAATGTAAAAGTTTAACAAGCTTAGTATAACAATTACTCATCAAAAATTCTCAAATTCACAGACATGCTGAAATTGTCCGTCCGATCGGTCATGACCGGGAAAATTTGTCTGGACTGGTAAAAAAATGGACTTGCTCGGTCCACAGGACCGACAAGAGTTTTAAGAGCCGCAATTTTGAATTTGCAGTCATCATTCGACATACATCATTAATAAAATTATATAAAACCCAAAGTGTTTTTCCCTTCCATTTCAAACCTGTCACATTCACAAACAAAGTAAGCTACCTCAATTGAACTGGTATTATCTGTCTCAAACGAAAAGAGTGATTTTCAGTCCAACAAAAATCCATGCGGTCAGGCAAATTTTTCAGTACTGCCAGTCCAAATGTCCGGCCGTTCTGAAAAGTTTTCAGCATGTCTGAATTCAAACACTCTTTGTGGTGAATCTAAACAAACAAAAAGAAAAGAGAATTATGAATATTAACAAATTCTACTGCAGAACGTGTGTTTCAAGTCAGTGTACATTTGTGATGGGTAAAACAGTGAAGATAAAAAAACTTTCCTTTTTGGTCTGAATAATACACCCACGTGTTGTGCTAAATAAGAAAAGTCATATGTTAGGCTGTCACAACTTAGCAGAAAGTGTGTAGTCTGACTGTATCAGTGTATCAGGTTTGTGTGTAACTGTAATAATAAAACTGTAGCTGACTATGGCCATATAGCATCCCTGCTTGGCTGCCTTAGCTTGCTTCAGCTTTTTGGTGCTAAACCCCGCCACCATGCTAGTAGGTTTCATAGAAATTAGTTTCATTTATGGTAGATTTCATATGCGTATATTTCATTTTTGTAAATTTCATAGGGTAGTATATTTCATTCTTGTAGATTTCATAGGGTAGTATATTTCATTCTTGTAGATTTCATACTAGTCCAGTAGACTCCTAGGGATTGATTCCTCTTTGAAAGGTTATCTCAGAGCTAGCTTGACAGCCACCCACTCTTTTTAAGCAGAAAGTTCTCTCCTTCTCATGTTTGTTGAAAATTGGGTCAATACCATTGAAAAGAATTATGCCAATACATTAAAGCCAATATTACACCGGATTTGTGACTGCTTGGAAACCTGGTGGTTGCAAGCTTGAAGTGACATGGGCTACCCACAGGCATGAAATTATGCTATTCTGAAAATGAAATTATGATTGGAGTATTTGTCAATGGTGAAGGGACACACTACACTGGAATTTGTAGTGAATTAATCGGAACCATTTTGCAAAAGATTTAAAGCCAGAAATTTGGTGTACCCTTTTTGATAAAAATTGCTCTACTTCAGTTCTAGATATCTCTGTAGTACTCCAATGAATGAACAAAGTAGTGTCTTTGTTGTAGCATAAACACAGTATTCCATATGATAAGGCTACTACAGGTTTGTCCTAGGTCAGAGTAGATTGACATTGGGGTCCTGAAGTTTAGACCAATTTGCAGGCCAAAGTTGGACATGTGAAACTTTGTCAAAGATTTTGTCTATCTGTCTCAGGGCAATGAGCAAGGTTTTGAGTGAGATTTCTGTTTGAGTATGTGGCTGCTTGTGTTGTTCTGACTGAATTTAGCACAGTGCAATGTGTGTGTGTGTGTGTGTGCATGTGCGTGTATGCGTGTGGGGATGTGTGTGTGCATAAATTTGTAAGTTATTGCAGATATACACGGGTGGGTGAAAATCATCAACTCATTTTCCCTCAGTCATTATTTGTCAACTCTTCAACACTGAGAGGACGATAGCTAGGCACTATTTCCCCTCCTTAAGCAATACTTAGGAGGTTGTAGGTCTCTTGTCATTAGGACTAGGTCCATTGTGTTGAACTCTTACTTTTTTTTCCTTTTGACTGTTGTTAACCACTTCCTTTTTTTCTATCTTGTAATTTTTATTAATATTTGTTTTTGTAAATCTTGTAATATATTTTCTACGGTTGTTTGATGAAGAAAGTGCACAATTTTACAAAGGAAGGTCATTTTGCTTCCTCATTTCTTTTTACTGTAAACATTTGGGGCTGTTTACCAAATTGTTATTAATATTTCCATCTTATTCCTGACAATCAAGGCAATAAAACTTGGTTTTATATTGAAAGGGAATTTTTAAATTAAAAATGAAAACATTTTTATAAGGAAATGAGACCATGTACTGTTTTTTACAGGATTTTATGTATTTTGAAAGCGAGCAGAACAACAATGACCATTGATCAGCATATGTAACAGTTCAGTGATGAGTTTGTAGATATTTGTTAGACGTGTGTGTCTGTGTGTCTTTCTCTCAGTTTCTTGAAAGAAAAAGAATGTTCGAAAATAATTTAAGTGTGCCAGTGTCATTGTAATGAACAGTTTGTATTCACAAAGGTGTGTTTGCCTCTGTTCATGTATGCATATGTATATGAGTGTATATGAGTGTATATGAGTGTATGGGTGCTTTCCCAGAGATTAAGATCGATCTAAAGATTAAATTTTAGATCGACCTAACTCCCTGGGAGTTCAGGCTTAATTGCAGTCAGCCGAGCGGACACCATAGTTAATTACCCCCTTACAGCTTTAAGTAGGCGGGACAGACGCTTAAGCCGGCCAAGCTGACAGTAATCTAGTGAGACTCCCCACAGGGATAGATCCTGTAATTGGAACAGATCTAACTCCTGTCGATACTATATATCTAGACAGGACTAAAAAGAAAACATTATCAATAATGACAGACAGTTCCCATCCAGCCCATACCCTTTTTAAATTTTTACCTAGCAATTCGAGACTCTTAGCTTTTAAGGGTAGTAAGCAATTTTTAAATAGCTTTTATCCTTTGGCAGTAACTATTTTTAACTCTAACATGTAATTTTAATTTTCATTTTTTATATTGCAATGGCGCTACTACAGGGCAAAAGATTCCCGATTTTATACATTTGTATTTTATTGGCTTAATAAATTATTATTATTATTATTATTATTATTATTATTATTATTATTAGATCGATCTAAAAATCTATGGAAATGGGGTGTATATGTGTGTGTATGTGTGTGTATGCACGTGTTAGATTGTCCTTTGTGTGTGTATGTGTGTTCATGTGTACAAAACCTCACTTAACCTGCAAAAGTTAGTGTACACAAATCATTTTTAACATGACCACCTTTTCCTAATGCCCTGATAGTTGCAGTGTCATCTTTATTTCTTGTTTGTGGCTAACAAAATGGGGGTTGGGGGGGAGGGGTGGATGGAGAAAGACAAGTAACAAAAACTAAGGAAAACATCACTCTCTTGGTAGTTTTTTTGTAAGTGTAGTGTATCAGGGGCGGATTTAGGCCGTCTTCTGGGTCTTCCGGAAGACGGTCAGATTTTTAAGTTTACATTGACAGGTATCTAATATTTTCTGTTGGAAGACGGTCAAAAATTGAGGACGAATTAACAAAGATAATTTGGAAGACTGTCAGAAAATATCTCTGGATCCACCCCTGTGTATAATTTCTGTACTTTCCAAAATTTTGGTATTGACCCGATGTTTTCAATGGGGGAAAATGAATTTCACAAAAATCTGAAATTTTAAGTCACAGATTCTTCAAATTAGAACATTCCTACCATTGAGTGGTAGCAACAAAACTGAAAAGCATGCTACCTTATAGTTCATTCCTATACAGTCACACAACACAAATGCTGCACACAGAAATATATTTCAATTGTTTTTATGTTATAGATCTGAAGGATTAGACATTTTTCCCCACTGAAAATATCATTTAGTAAATGGCAAATTAAACTATCAATGCTGATTAATAAAATGGATGTTCTATTAATATAATTTGTGTGAAAAGAATTTTATCAGCAATGAAATTGATACAACATATGACTGATTTTTATAAAATATTAATGTAAAATTGTAAAACAAAGTTTTAAATTTTACTTTATATGATTATCTGATGTTGTACAATATTCAAGTAATTTGTAAATTATAAAACAAATGTTGAAAATCTGCATAATGAAGTGGGGGTTATTTCTCCCAAGAAGTTCATTAATATAATTGTATCCCTAGCTGCCAAAGCCTAAAATTAGTGCATTTCTTCATTAAACAAACTATCTTTAAGTTTTTTTTTTTTACGTGAAGGAAGACAATTGTTTAAAAGTTGTGCATTTTCATATTTTATTGCAGGATTTCATGTACTTCGAGCAGCAGAATAACAACAATAATTGATTAAGCAAGACTATTTATGATTACGCAATAGAAACCAACAAACCTGTATTCCAGAACCTAACAGCTCCCTACAGCAACCAGTTATACTGAAGAGTGGAATTGATTGTCTCTAAGTGAACATTTATCAAGGAAAAAAATATATAAATATAGTGTCTGTTAACCAGACAGTCAGGATGTATTTATCTCAAGTATTACTAGGTCTTGTATTGTTTTGATTGGAAACATATGTATTTTTTAGTTTGGTATTTTTAGTGTGCATGTCAAATATTTATTAATTAATTTATTTATTTATTTTTTTTTTTTTTTATTTTTTTTTTTTTTTAGTTCCAAAGGTTTCTTTTAAGCCTTCTTTCACACCATTCCCTTAGAAAATTCTGTCAGGAAAACTTACAATTACAGCAGTATTGGTTGTTAAAGTTTGGGTAAAGCTATCTCTGAGATGAGTGGTGACTTAAAATGACCTGAGGAAAGTTCTGATAGCCGCCATTTTCTTCACTTTGAATATTATTGAATAATACCTTCTCTTTGAATTCAAATGATATCCACTGGTTAAACCTCCCGATTCGATGATTTCTTTATGATTTCTGGGTGTTAAAATGCAAAATGAATAAAATTGGGTGGCGAGTTCAAACATTTTGTTTTCAGTAACTTGGTGTTTTAACAGAAAGATTGGACTTATCTTTGACCACACATTCATGGAAAGTACTAGTAAAAGGCTGACCATTCTAAAGGGAATTGTAATAGAAGGAAGACTTTCAGTACAGTCCCTTCCTCAGGCCATTTTTATTCTTTATTGAGATAGATATGTATCAATACTGAGTATATTTAGACATCAGTGTATTTAACTGGATATGTGTAGATAGCTTGGGGTTGTCACGTAAATGGAAAAGACTTAGTGATGGGAGTCTACTGTAAGAACTGTTTATTTTAGCGTGCTTCATTCCTTTGTTTTTATCTTGTTTTTCTGTAAACATTACCTAATTAAATTAACTGTATAACGGCAAGACTGAGCCCAAACTTGAATATTTATGCAAATTATTCTTAAGGATGTAAGGGTTTATTTATTTATTTATTTACTATTGGAATGCTTTGCTATTGGCTGCTCGGTTGTGCTAGCTGACTCATCATTTGTGCACAGTTTGCTTATCTTCCTTTTTTGTTTGTTCTGCGTTGCTTATTATAAGTGAAGTGCACATTTGCTGCCATGCATTTCACGCCTAAATATATATGAAAGTTTAGTGTGTGTTTGCATGTCTACGTGAAAATAAACATGCACCTCTTCTGATTGGATGGATTCGCTTGAAATAAACATGCAGCTCCTCTGATTGGATGGTTTCACTTGAAATAAACATGCACCTCTTCTGATTGGATGGATTCGCTTGAAATAAACATGCAGCTCTTCTGATTGGATGGCTTTACTTGAAGTAAACATGCAGCTCTTCTGATTGGATGCTTTAGAAGTCCAGGACAGGAAAACACAACAGCGGGCATCATATTTAAGTGACTGTAATATTTCAAGTTGAGTCCCAGAGCAACTTCTCGTCCCACAGCACGTGATATCACGACATGCAGGGGCGGATCCAGAGATATTTTTTGACAGACTTCCGAAATATCTTTGTTGATCCATCCTCCATTTTTGACCGTCTTCCGACAGAAAAATGAGATACCCATCAATGTAAACTTGAAAATCTGACCGTCTTCCGGAAGACCCAGAAGACGGTCTCAATCCGCCCCTGACATTCTCGTCTTAATCTCACATTGGAAGTCAAAAGTCCTGATTGAGCAAATAAATCTCCACGTTTTTCTTTCTTTTTTTTTTCCAGGACTTCATGTACTTCGAGCATCAGAACAATAATTGAAAAGCAAACTAGTACGCGCAAGCGGGGTAGTTTCTGGTGAAGATCAGTTAGCACAATTATGGAGCATTCATAGCACTGCTTGTGCACCTTTGGGGTACTTGCATATTAGACCTCACCCTACACACGCTATATTCAATAATTTTGAAGTGATCTATTGTGTACACCATTGGATTTAATTGTATAAATTCATGTTCACCAGCCAGGCTTAAATGCTATCAGTCGTAAACACTGTCAGTTTTGTGTCACTTTGTTGGTGTAAATTTAACTAGTCGGTCACATTACTGGCATCACTCAAATGAGACGGAATACTAATAGTTAGAACTACAGATCGCTCGAACAAATGTGGTACATTTTAAAGTATGTGAACAACGTTTTTAGAATTACATGTATCAGATATATTTTGTGTGCATCTAACATCAGATTGGCCAGTTCTTTGAAGGATTGTTTGTATACAGTATGATTATTATATAATGTTGGCTCTAAAAGATCTGTGATTTTTTGGGGAAGGTATTCATTCAGAAATTGTACAAAGCTTGTGGTGTATTTTTGTGCCTTTGGTATCACTTAGATTTATATTTATACGGAATTTATATAAATGGGACTTCCTAAAGTATGACAACTGAAAGCATAGTTTGTTGATTCCTTGCAGTTTAGACAGCGCTCCAGAACAATGACTGGCACCATTTCATAATATGAAGGATATTATTATTATTGGAGTGCATACTTTATTTTCTCGTCACTTCTAAACGTTATGGTACATAGATACTCGAATGCTTTATTTTTATTTATTTTTTATTTATTTATTTATTTTTTTCGTTCACGTTTGTTTAACCCGTTTCAATTTCGAATGATGTTATCGTTTGTTTGTTTGTATAGGTGCGATCCTTTATTATTTAGTCGTCGAAAAAGCGAATCACAGGATAAATTGCTGACACTGTCTACCCGTTTTCTGTGCAGAAAATCCTCGCATCTTAAAATACCCCCCCCCCCCCTCCAATCTTATATCAGTAATAGAAGTTCAAATGTACTCTTTCGACATTGAAATGTTGCCTTCAAGTAAAGGTCAGACGGATCAATCAGAAATCACTGTCTGGTGAACTTAATATTAGACGGGAAAAGTCGATCCGCATGTCTGTCGGAGATGAAATGGAAAATGAGAAATGCGCGACTTAAAATTGGAGCGCGAAAGCATCTTCACAAAGCGTCATAAACAGATATACGCTTCTTTCAGTAAAATACAGGAACTGTTTGCATTTTACAGGATATTACACAGACAATTTTGTAAATCCCCTTGCCTGTAGGACACGTGGAAGCTTTAAGAGTTGCTTATTTTTGCGGTACTTGTTACCAAAGGTATAGGCGCAGATAGTGAAAAGGTGAAATGCCATTTAATACACCTATTTGGTTATCTCCTATAGCCTCTATTTTTTCTTTTTGGTCAAGTATTTATATCATTTTTTAAAAAGTCACTTTAAAGATGATGTCACTTATTATATTTGGCTTTGTAAGGATTGTCGTCAATACGATGTATATGTATAATGGGACCTATGATGCAGTTTGAAAAAGAAATTGCATGCGTGATAAAGGACCGTGAAAGCGGGTTCAAATCTGATGTGATCTGGTATTTATTATTACACTAATCCTGTTCTTTATGATGTCAGAGATACTGTAAAATAGATATCCTTTTTGCTAATCATTTATATTCAAGTACCCATATCTTTGTATTTTTCTGTTTTGAAAATGATTATTGGTACTGTGGTTCTAATTACTTATTAATAAATGTAGTTTTTGTAATAGTAACTGTTTGTTCTGTTGTGTTTTTATTTGTTGCTGAGGCTACCCATGTACTTGAAGCATGGAAAGAAATACAAGTGAGGAAGAATTATTTTTGGAAATTTATGTACATGAAAGAAACAAAAAAAGGTATATAATCGTAGTCAATTCTTGATCAATCGGGAATTCGTGGCAAAAATTTTGAGCTGTTCAAAATTTTGGCTACGAACTCCCGATTCCAAAAAATAGTAGTGAATTCGTGCGATTCCAGCCGAATCCCAGGAATATTCGTAACACTATCGCACCTGTATCGTAACTGAATCGTAGAGCGTGTCGAATTAGGCCAGAAAATTTGCAAAGTCTCACGAATCCTGAAATTTGTCAATTCCTGGCGATTCGTGGTCTGTGTGAAATAGGGGCATCAAAGTTTTTGCCACGAATTCCTGTAGGCCAAGAATTGCAAGAACTGACTACGAATATATACGAATCTGTTAGGAACTTCACGAACTGATTACGATTCAACCACGAATCCTGAAATTTGTCAATTCCTGACGATTCGTGGGATTCGTGGTCTGAGTGAAATAGGGGCATGACACCTGTCCTAACGCGTGATTATGGTACGGGGGGGGGGGGGGGATAAATCCTTTTCACAAGTCACGATGTACCGACGAAACTCAATACGGTTATTAAACTGACAGTGCAGAGCGCGTGACTCCGTTTTTCGAAATATCAAGATAGAAAATTTACAATCTCTAAAATGATACGTTCCTAGTTTCAGGTTGGGATAAATTTGAAAGATACTGACAAAGTGAGCTGTGAGTTTTTAACAAATATCTAAACAAGCGTTGCTTTTCCCTCTGTAAGAAGACATGAAATTGTTATATACAACAAAATCAAGATAAAATTTTGAAAAAAAAAATGGATGTTTATTCACGAAGTTATCGTAAGTTTCCAATGCCCCCTTTTTTGACGTGACGTTAAGATCACGCAAATTATCGCGAGTTTTTAAATCGCTGTCCCAGGTCGATCATGAAGAGCAAATAGCAAGGCTGTGGTCGAGTTAAAGGAAAGTTACGTTATCATACCCTCTACCAGGGCGACTGATAGATTTTTTTACACATATTCACATATATGACTCTAGATAGATAGATAGATAGATAGATAGATAGATAGATAGATAGATGGTCATTTGGTTCTAAGTAACTAAATGACCATCTGTCTATCTAGAGACATATCTATGGATATCTGTATAAAAATCTATCAGTCGGCCTGGTAGAGGGTACGTTACTCTTATGTCCCAAAACGAGGCAAATGATAAATCGATGCAAGGGCTGACATTTTATAAAGTGCGTTTTCAAAGATTAGGTTGACATTTCAAAAAGTGCATTTTCAAAGATCAGGGGCAATAGATTCCCCGACCCAAAGCCAAATCGATATTAGAGAGGCACCCAAGAGAAATTGTCTGGCTAAAGATAGTTGCAGGTGACACCGCAAATTGTTTAATGACAGTTTGCTTTCAACTTGGCGTGTGTAGCATTTCCCCCCTTGAAACGGTGCACTCACAGCTGTCGCTGGGTGGGGAGGGATGAGGGTAGGGGATACGGGGGGGGGGGTAAGGATGGGGAGTGGTACAGAGGTAACACTAATGAATACTAAGGCAATATTAATCTTACGTGCATTGGTGATGGGAAAATAAGTTTGTTATGTCTCATTCCATTTTTTTAAATCTTTTTTGGAGGGGAGGGGGGTAGAGACAGAAATAGAAGTGGAGATATCTCCGAGGCCACGAGGGGGGAGGGGGGGGGCTGCCTGTATCCACCTTTGTCGCTATTTCACCACTGTCTTTTCTACATTGACTTTCGGTTCTTCAGTTTTCGCTCTTCTGTACAAACCGCAACTTCCTGTTTATGTCTCGCGGGCAAATGGGTTAATGAAAAATCCTCAATGATTAGAAAATACGCGGTGATGTTGGAATAAATCCTTGTCAGCAATCCACAGCTACCTATCAGAATTAAACAAACGTAGATATTGTCGAAAAAAAAGTAAAAATTACCTGTGTTTGAAGGACGGTGATCACATAATGTATTCTGCTTGTTTAAATTTATTTATTTATTTATTTATTTATTTATTTATTTATTTATTTATTTATTTATTACAGAATACAATTAAAAACAAATTTGGATTAATTAGATAAATTAAAAAATCAACCTTGCCATCATATCATTTCACAAAAACAATGGTTTTTAATCAAAATCCTTTTATCTAAGGGGACTTGGATCCACGATGTGGCACTGATTTGGCCAGAATTTTTTTTCATACAAATTGGTGACCATTTAAAGGGTCAGAATGGAAGAGCCTGATAAAGGAGGCCCTTAGTAAAATATTATATATATATATATATATATATATATATATATATATATATATATATATATATATATATATATATATATATATATATTTGCCCATGACTTAACAGTTATGCGGCTAATTAGTTAGACAGACAGACAGACAGTCAGGCAAATAAAAGGCTAATAAAATCATAACCATAACCTCCTTGCTAACGGGAATGAAATGTTGAATAACATGGATGGCTTTATCCTCGGCTTCAAGCTACTATACTAAAAAAACTTCTCTAGTTATTAAAGAATTATATTTTAACAATATTAAAGTACTCCGCTATTTCATACAATTCTTTAATAGCTCGAGAGGACAACTTGTACAGACCACACTTACGCTTGCAAAGAAATGACAACCAAAATATTAAAATATACAAAGCGATTATCGATAAACAGGCGCGTGATCTGTGTGTGTGTGTGTGAGTGTGTGTGAGAGAGAGAGAGAGTGTGTGTGTGTGTGTGTGTGTGTGTGTGTGTGTGAGAGAGAGAGAGAGNGGATTTACTCCCGACTCCTGAGGTTTTAACATGCTGCGTTCCCCCCCCCCGCCCTCCCCCCACCCCGGTCCACCCATTATCATCTCGTCAAAATGCTATAATACTGCCCACTAGAATTTTGTTAAGGGGGAGGGGATTCCAAAGATATATTAAGGACAATTTTACTCTAATATTTAGAGTATAGGGATGGATTTTTTTTTTTTTTTTTTTTTGTATAGGGAGGCAGCCCTGAAGATTCGGTCTTCACTTAAAATGTTTTGCCGTAAACCCTCCCACCCCGCTCCACCCCACCCTACCCCATCCCACCCCACTCCACCCCATCCCACCCCATCCCACCCCACCCTATCCCACCCCGCTCCACCCCACCCTCCCCCATCCCACCCCACTCCACCCCATCCCAGCCCATCCCACTCCATCCCACCCCACTCCACCCCACTCCACCCCACCCCACTCCACCCCATCCCACCCCATCCCACTCCACCCCACCCATCCCCGTCCATAATGTCTATTTCCGCTATGATGTATTAATGCAAGCCAGACACTGATGACAGGTACGACTTTGGCACCTGCCTCTCCTTCACCGTTGATTCTTTAGTTTGCCCTGAAGTCTTTCCTTTTCAAAGTCGAAACAGATCTGTAAAACCAGAACAACGATACCTGTGGCTAAACTGTTAATGGGCCCAAATTCTGTGAAAAGGTTTGGGACGTTTCGTTGGTAGTGAAAACTGTTCCAAATTCCAGGAAAGTCAAAATTTGCTACAACCAGGACTGATATTGAAGACATTTTTTTAGGTACGGTTATACCACAAACGCCTTGGGTGTAACGGGATAACAAATCATAAGCTAATTCAAGCAACGGAACACACAGGATGTGCAATTTCATTTTATCATTAAAAAAAACAAAGTAGTCTACCGCCAATTATTTCTTCGTCAGTTCGTGTCAAAAGAATTGTCTG